ATCAATCAACATAACATCCAATAGCAAATAACGGCATAGTTTCGAGTGTTAACGCCTTAGCTTACCGTCATGCATCGCATAACATTTTATTTGTTAAAAACATCATTTTCATGGTTAAAAATCATCTTTATATTGTTCATAATTAACTGGTATTAAAGTAGGATTTTAGAGCCCAAAAATAGCATTTTCGGAAGTATTTTTGGGGCAAAATTTTGGGGGATCGATCTAGTACTCTGGATCAATCCAGACTAGAAGTAACATACCCAGGGAGTTGATCCACAATATAAAGATTGATCCAAACAGTCTGGTTTTCGATCACTACTCATCTTCTTCTTCGTTCGAGTCCAATTTCAAAAATACCATTTTTAATTACCAAACTTCAATTAAACTATATAGAAATGTTCTCCAAGATTCATATATCATTTTGGTTTATGATTCTAAGTTCTTCAAGTATGTCAAACACAAAACTCAACCAAATGACAGTTTATGAACGTAGAAATGATCGATACGAACATTCTAGTCACTGGATATATCTACAGGCTTACCTCGAGCTTAAATGGAGGTTTTGGAAATTTTCTGGTGAAACTTCCGGCAATGTTTGTGGCTAGCTTCGGTGACCTCTCACCAAATTGACAGCACCATTGCACTCCTCTCTTAACAAAGAATAGAATATAAGGAAGAATTGAAGGAATTGGTGAAGAATAGAGAGAATTAGGTCTCCTTTTATAATGAAGAAGAAGAGGAAGACTCCAAGCTCAGCTTCACTTGAAATCCATGATCGGCGTAGTGCGCCTAGCGGCGATTTCAAATATTTGATAAGTAATTCCCTAATTGAGACCTAAATGGTTTCAGTCGGGGTACACTTTTTGGTCCAACTTTCTCCGACTTGAATTCTTTTTGCACCGATGCGATCGAACAGTTAAACTCTATCCAACGATATAATTTTTATATTTACTTGTAATACTTTTTCCGACATCATATTTTTAGGTGTTTGACTTAGAAAGAGTCAAAATTGGTTTAATTGACCTTTATCATAAAAGGTTCTCTCATTTAATTTATATTACTCATTCTCATGACTTATTTGGATAAATCATTTCAAAGATCACATTATAAACACATTATTCATTTCTTCTTAATTTGGGTCTGTATTCTGGTTCCCAATTAAGATCACACATAAAGTCAAAACATATAAAGTCTATGAGATTTATCCATATTGTGATATTGGATATCAAAACACATTTTATTTCAGCCCAATGCCCAGCAATAATTTATTTTAATCAAAACAAGTTTGATTAATTGAATAATTTTTCATTAATAATTTTGGGGTATGTTTTGATGCGTTACAATAACGGACTCTAAGGAAAACGTCCAACTTATGGAGGTAAGAAGTTCATTAACCTTAAAACATAACAAACCTATATCACAAAAAAGTACTTATGAATTCGGAAATCATTTAACAATAATATGGAGCTAAAATTGCTCCAATGAAAACCGAATTCTACACACCAATCTATTTATGAAATCAAATTATGCAATTCAGATAATTCAACAACAACTTTCACGTCGATTGAAGAAAACTAGTATGAGTCAATTATCATTCATAAGGGATTTAAAATATTCAAAAAAGAACAAGCACCCAAAAAGAACACCAACCATATTTGTTTATTTTTTTTGAGTATTTTCAAAATAATGAAAATAAGCAAACAAAAAATGTAAAATTGATTTCAAAACAACACTATTACATAAAAATTGGGAAAGAAATTGAAAAAGTAACAAGTCTAGGATTACCATTAGAATAAGAAGATGAAATTGAAAATTTTAGGAGTTGGAGTGACTGCCTGACCACTCGCCAATGCTACTGCCACCGCTGGTTTGCGTTTGCTGATCGTCTGCCAGTGCCTTAGTGCCAAGATTGCAGCAGCCATAGCTGCTGCTGTTTTCTATATGATTCCCCCCTTGAGAACTAATAACTTTGTGCCAAAATTATAGCCGAAGAACTTTTTCCAATTGGTGATTGATTCTCACAATTTTGGTAGAAAAACGTCGGAGCATTTGAAGCGCTGATTTGTTCGTTGCTTTGATTTGGATTTGGTCAATCTTGGAATGCCGCTGGTATGACTGTGTCACTCTTCTTTCTTTTTTGTTTTTTGTTTCTTTGTTGCTAGAGAGAAAATGAGATTGGGCGGGTTGTCTTGATTCATTAAGTGTAGTATATATTTTGCGCTCTAGTGCAAGTTTTATCTCTTCCTATAAAACTTGAACTTCTGATTTGGTCTTCTGCTAGATTTTTCTCCACAAGTTGGATATCTGATAACTTGGGTTAGCAAAAAACAAAAAAAATAATAAAATGTAAAAAGCGATTAAAAAACTACTATCTATGAAAGAAAAATAAAACATTGTAAAATAAGAATAAAAATAAAACTAAGCTAAACAAATAAAATTAAACACTACAATATTAAAAATTCTAAAAGAAGAATAAAAAGTACTAACCAAAAATCGGCGTATTAGTTCGACACAAAATTTATGTTCTAGATACTCTGTATTCCAAGCTAGTTGTCAAGAAAATCATTGGTGAATTTGAACACCTGACCTTGGAATTACTTAAACCACTATAGTACACTTTAACCAAATTCAGAGAGAAGAAAATGCAAAGGCTGACATCCTAACAAAACTAAGTTCCCACACACTAGAGCGCATGAGCAACGTGGTTAGGGTCAACGAGTTAGCCTATTCCACTACGCGAGAAGTAGCAAATGTGGAGTGGGTACACTTTAAACCGAAAACAATGGCTACATTGACTTGTCAAATACGTTGATGGTAGAGTAATGCTAGATGATTCGACCTAAAGGAATTGGAGATGATATAAGATGAGAGCATGAGTTATGTTGTCTTTGACAAAAAACTTTACGAACACTTGTAAAAGGAAAGCACAAGCATGGGTGATCATGAAGGAAATCTATTCTTGAATCTTTACAGCTCAACAGAGATATTTTGCCTTGTCTTAGAGGATTGTGCTGCAAACATACTTCTAGCCCACAATGATGAGTGAAAATAATGTGTTTGATAGTACGCGTTAAGTATGCGAACAATTTCATTAAGTACCTAGGAGGTCTGTCACGACTAATTCCCCTAACACTTTAGCAATTTCTTTTTTCATTGGGAGATTAACCTTAACTGAGCCCCCCATTATGGTAGTGTTGGCAATAGACTCTTTCACCAAATGGGTCTAAGCATTCCTATTGGTAATCATTATTTTGGCATAAATGAAAAATTTTGTTGGAAACACAACATGAGTAGTTATGGGATTCTCTAGTATATAATTAAAGAAAATGGGTGGCGGTTTGGTTTTGATTGCTTTAAAGATTTGGACAAGAGTTGAACAGTCTAGTACAGTAAGGGTCTCGTTGCCTACCATTAGGCCGACAAACTAGTTGAGAATGCCAACATCAGGATAATTGATGGGATAAAAAAGAAAATACTTACAAAAGGGGGTGAAAAGGATGATGAACTTCCCTAAATCTTATGTGCATACAATAAAAGTCTCGTGCAAGACCTTAAAGACACCCTTTTGGCTTTGAGTAGAGGCATAGGTTCCCATTTACGTGGTCCTTCCGAGCTAAGGATTTGAAGATTATGATCACAAGGCAAATGAAGTGAACTATGAAATAGAATTAAATCTCCTTGAGGAGAGAAGGAAAGAAGCCTCCTATTAAGTAAGGAATTATCACTAGTAAGTGAGGGCATATTTCAATAATTATGGTAATTCCCAAAGATTTCCAATTAGAGAAAACATCAAACCTCTATTGGGAAAAACCTATTACTCTTATATTGAAACATAAATTATCAAAGCAGGGGTTGGTGCACCTCAAGACCTACAAACTAGTCACCTCAATGGGAAAACATGTTGATTGGACTTGGAATACACAGCACCTTGTGTATTTCAACTAGTAAGGGACATTGAATCTGGGTTTGGTCATTACTAGTTTAGGACTTGTCACGATTTTCATTTATTAAAGGCATTGAATTAATGTAGGAAAAGACCCATCGTGGGACCTTTTCCTTATTTTGCTAATAAGCATATAATTTTCACTCAAACTAGTTTTTGCGTAAGGTAGGTGGTAAACGTCGGAAGTAGATTCTTTTTTTCCTACGCCCTTTAAGGGTCACACACCCTAGCAAAAAGAAATCCCCAAAAAGCCCTGAATACCAAGCCTAAAATGTTCTCTTATGTACTCTTCTAAGAGCATGAATAATGGCGAGTCTAAAGTGGAATGACACACACTCACATAGAAGTTTTCAATGAATGAAAAAAGTCTAGTAAGCGAGTGGTAAGTAAGTCTACTACTTATTTTAATGAAAAAAAGAATGAAATTGGGAGCCATTGCCTTGCGCATGGCTTGCAAGGTGTGGAGAAAAGTTTTAGCCACGTGAGGCAAAATAAGATTTTGGCTAATTGGGCAGGCATGGCAATGGCAAAGCCACGCTACTACCATTGCTCTTATTATTACATTTCTCGTGGATCAAAATATATTAAGTACATTTATGATTTATAATACATACGACTGTACCTACAAAAATACCATACATGTAAAAAATTTATACATCACTATGAGTTACTTAGTCATTCCTTTCTTTTAGTGAACATTTGTGTACTCTCACCTTTTTACTATCTATGTTAGGTTTTGTGTCTTACGTTGACTAAGTATATACAAAAATTTCAAATGAAATAAAATATAAGAAATACACATCAATATTTGCTTCAAAATTGTATTGGTTAAAAGATAATGGTTGCTAAACATTGGACATGAAAAATGAAACAAATAGTTAAAAAATGGAGGGAGAATTCTTTAACGTATAATTATATTGTAATTATTGAACATCTCATTGGTGGTTACGGAGACATAACTTGTGTAATTGTATTTGATTTAATTGTAAAAATTTGTAATTAGTTAGTCAAATCATAGAATCTCTGCCTAAATTTGGTATGTTGTTTGTATCAGGGGTGTCGTACACAAACATGTTCGATGCAAATTTCGACACACTGATGTGGTCATTGAAGAAAGCAGGATGTGAAAGCGTGAAAGTAATTGTGGGGGAGGTTGGGTGGCCAACAGACGGTAATGCCAAAGCAAATATGAAAATGGCCGAGAAATTCTACAAGGGATTTCTTCAAAAAATTGCAGCAAAGAAAGGGACTCCAATGCATCCTGGCCAGATAGATGCCTACCTTTTTAGTTTAACTGACGAGAACATGAAGAGTGTGGCTCCAGGTGACTTTGAGCGTCATTGGGGGATATTTAGCTATGATGGTAGGCCTAAATTCCCAATCGATTTCACCACCAAAGGTCACAACGAGAGTCTACCTGTGGGGGCAAAGAACGTGCAATATTTACCAGCACAGTGGTGCGTTCTTGATGACAATGCAAAGGATCTGAGCACTTTAGGATCCAACATCCAGTATGCATGCTCACTTTCTGATTGCACGGCATTGCGCCCTGGATCTTCTTGCCAAAATCTGGATTCAAAGAGTCGGGCTTCATATGCCTTTAACATGTATTACCAAGTAAATAATCAAGATGTAGAAGCTTGTGATTTCCAAGGACTTGCTAAGATTGAGAGGAAAAATGCATCCACGAGTGACTGCTTGTTCCCTATTGCCTTAGAGAGCACATGCTTAAAGATTGGCAGCATGAGGGTTGAAGTAATCATCATTTTCGAGATCTTCATCTTTTTTGCACTCTTTTAGGAGTCATTTTTGAAATTCCATTTTTATGGTGCTTCATTTTTACATAATAGGGACTTCAAAATAATTGGTTGAAAAATTCTATGTAAACGATGAGAAGCAAAATGCAGAATTCTTCAAAATAATTCCCATGTAAACTTTGGAAAAAAATACTCTCCAAGAGGCTTCTTTAGTGGTGCCCCATCATTTTCCCATAAAATGGAATGCTACCCATGTAACACCCTAATCCGTCCAGGTCTGCAACCCCTTCCGGACTAAAGTATTAACTTGGTAATCGTAAAAATTTAAAACTTTTCAAACACACTTTATTAATCCCAATAATTTTTCATAACATATACAGTACGGAGTATTCAACAATATTGCGGAAGCGAATTTAATTTTGACATATCATAAATCATTTCAAACTTGAGCTATCCATAGCTTCTAACAAGTAGGTTCCTTTGAATTTGACCAAACAAATTGTCAATTCTTAGTAAAGGGTAGTGATTCTTGATCGTCAGTTTGTCTGTCTTAACAGAGATGTGATAGTATCCTGACCGTAAGTCAATCTTAAAGAATACAATGGATCCTCTAAGCTGATCAAATAAGTCATCGATACGAGATAAGGATAGCGATTTCATTTGACGGTAGTTGACATAGAGTCTCATCGATCCATCTTCATTTGCATATTCATTTGAGATGGACTCGGTAGGTTTAGTATTCAACTTTGCTTTCATCTCTATGAGGTTACCATCATTGGTCTTTAGTTGAAGAATTCTTCTTTAAGAGTTGTCAACAAAAACTCCATTTAGTGAGCCAATTCATACTAAGGACAACGTCAATTTCCTTGTATGGTATTTCAACGAGGTTTTGCAAGGAATTGTTGCTTAACGAATAATTTTGATTTACAAGATATAACGAAACGAAATACTTTATATAACAGAGTTTATTGATTCTAAACGTTCGTGTTTGAATCAGCGATCCAATCGTTTTTAGTCCACTTGAGGATCTCCAGCATCCGGTTCACACATGTTCTTCGTAAAATCAACATTAATCGTTTCTTCGAAGTTGTCTTACTTCCACACGACTTTGCGAGGCAGATCAGTTTCGTTATTCGCGATGCTATAAGTACGTTGATAACGTATTAGAAGGTTATAAATATTTCGTTTATTGTTTCATCTCTTTTCGAGTACGAAAATTCAACTTGAGTCTACGCTCGATACAATTTCAGTACTAACAATTGTTATCTAATGAAAATTTTAACGAAGTCAATATGTATCTAGTAAATTCTCATACCTTTCCTAGAGTAGAGGGATGCGAGAGTCGTGGATGTGATTGACATTTTTTTTAATATCAAATTTTGATCCAAAGATCGGTTTTAAAACCATTTGCTCCGATACCAAAATGTAACACCCTAATCCGTCCAGGTCTGCAGCCCCTTCCGGACTAAAGTATTAACTTGGTAATCGTAAAAATTTAAAACTTTTCAAACACACTTTATTAATCCCAATAATTTTTCATAACATATACAGTACGGAGTATTCAACAATATTGCGGAAGCGAATTTAATTTTGACATATCATAAATCATTTCAAACTTTTCACATCCATCCCGACAATCTCGCCCCATCTGCTGCCAGGATCACAGTGTTCTTTCTGTTGTACCTGCGTGTAGCAAATAAAACACACTACACGCTCAGCGGTAAAGCTGGGTAAGCATATCTAATGCGTCGAACATCCATATAAACTGAATCTAAATTCATAATCAAATCATTTGATATCATGCACACAATGTTCATTTAAGACATTCACAGTTTTGGTATTGTTCAGTTCATATCAACACATTTTATTCAATTCAGATACTATTTCAATAGTGCTCTTAAATTATTCTTAATCTAAGGCCAGATCATAACAATGCTCTTAGCTATTCTTAGTCTAAGGCCAAATCATAATTTCCATAATCACATTCTTAAAAGGCAATTATTAATCAGACACTTAAACTATCATTAGTTTAAGGCAA